TGCATTGAAAAAAAATTTTTCCTTTACCAATATTCGCTCTTATCCTTTTTCACGAGCGATCAATTTTTTTTTCTTTTATTACAAAAAAAAAAATTATTATAACGGGCGGAGCAGTGGCGTGGACAATGCGTGGGTATGCAAGGGGGTAACACAGTGTGACTCTTGTACTTGTACCATTTGCGAGTAATATTATTCCCATAAAGCGTGAACCAGCTAAGCCTCCAACCATATAAAACCAAGATAGGTATAGGTAAAGAGAGCGACCGTGGGAGTATTTTTCTATATTATTTAGTAACTTCGTCGTCTTCTTTCTTGGCTTTGACTCTCTCGTTAATCGAAGTATTATGCTTACTCTCGTTTGGGACAACGAGCGCGTCGAGCTCGGTCGACAATAATTGTTTATCATTGTTGTAAGGTACTGTTTTTCATTTTCTTTTTAATATCATTTTTTTTCCCCGTCATTCTACAGCATTCTCGTTCAACGCGAATTACGTTCTCTCATTTACCGTTTCCCATATATCACTCTCAATCTCACCCTTAGCACAGACTTTTTTTCGTCTCTGCATTTTTCATTTCCTTTTTTTTTTTTTCACGCGCACACACGCACACACACGCCCTCTGGGAAATACACACTTCTCATTCCCGCCTTAAAAAAAAAAAAAAGAACAACGCACTGGTGCGATTGCGCGATCCAAGCAATCGCCGTCTATAAACGGCGGCGTAATCTAATGTCTCATTCGTACGAAAATGGTTTGCATTTTTCTTCGACTCCGACAAGACCGAGTCTCCGTTTTCTTGCGAGTTCGTTATTTTAAAAAATACCAACGTAGAGGGCTTACGACCGTAAGATTAATATGATGATAATAGGCGTCTAAATTCGTAGTTCTAGACAGACGACTGTCGTTAGGACGCTGTCGCGTTAATTACGTTCTCATAATTGCACAAAGCTTAATTAATTAGTACGAACGCCGTACCTCGCTAGTTAATCGGTACGACGTTATCATCCTGTACAAGAGTATTGCTTGTTAGGATTTAAAAAAAAAAAAGTACTCGACCGACTCTTGCGACGAGGTTAAATATATTTTTTATTACGTGGCTATAATATTTATATGGAATAATCGTTCCGTTCGCAACAGAGACAGTGAGAGGGAAATTGCGATGAAGTACATACATATGCACAGTGATTTTCTAATCAAGGTACTGGGGCCTGAATACGCATGGAAATAATTTGTCAAGGAATTTTGCTGATTAAAAAAAATTTTTTGTACACCTCTACCAAATACAGTGGGACTTCGAAAACTCGAACTTCTGTAAGTAAAAAAACCCCCGTAAGGCTATGAATATTCGAATTTCCTAATGATTCGCTTCTACGATAATATCAAAGCCCCGATAGATCGAAACTACGATAACTCGAAGTATATATCGTTTCCCTTGAGATTCGAGTTATCGAAGTTCCACTGTATCTACAAAATACTCGTTTTTCCCTTACTTCGTTCTACGCGCGATATGCATTTTATTTACATCGTCTTACGATAACTTCGCTTTCGTCATAACCGAAATATCCATTCGTTTTACTGGGATTAGGGAGATTAGTGGTGGGGGGAGAGGGGGGTCAATAAATTTTATCCCTTATTCCTTCACTCTGGCATATGGCACTGCGAGCTACGCGATTTTCCCGCGTAAAACAAAAAGTAACCCCCCCTGTCAGAAAAATTGTCCGCCTACGCTATCATCTACCTTAGTCATATTTCCCGTAAATATAATTTCAGCATCTCCCGTCGCCGCTATAACAATCGTCTGAACCACTATATATCCTTGTACATGGATATATAACGTGCGTGCGCAAGGATACGTTACATCAGATAATACGAGTGCGCATTTAAGTATTAAAGAAAGAAAAAAAAAAAGTATATAGCTCGAGCGCGGGAAAAAGATTTACTTTCGAAAATTCAGCTTGGCGTCCACGCTAAACGTGCACTTATGGATGCGTAGCAAGTGCGCTTTCATGTCGTAACTTCGACTGAAGATGCGATGACAAATGGGGCACTTAGTCTGGCCCGTGTGCAAGTCCTTATGCAGGGTCAAGGACATGGGATGCTTGAAACCCTTCCAACAAATTCTACAGCGAAATAACAACTCAGTATCCGAGGAATGAGCGAAATCATCGTCTATCGAGGAGCCCAAGTCCGCGCTCGGACCGCCCTCAGGATCGGCCGCTGGTTCTACAAATAAACAACAAACATCACCTCGATAAGTGTGAGAAAAAATATAGACGAAACGCGACGGCAGTTGCGGCGGCGGCGGGGCGGCGATATATGTATGTGTATATATATATATTTTTTAATATTAAAAAAAAAGTGGATGGCATCAAAAGCGTATAAGCTTGGGAATGGAAGCCTGATCAGACAAAAGACATAATGCAACACCATTAAGTCAAAAGCACTAGTCCTGATTTCCAACTAACAGCACGACGGCGCCCCCCCCCCCCCCCTTCCCCCCC